ACATCAAAAAGAGCACTGATGGTTACGCACGTCACGAGAAACGACGACGACTTTGAGAACTAAAAAATGGTTTAATACAAAATTAACATGCACAGTACAGTTTTGACAAAAAATGAGACAAAAAATGAAAAGTACCCGGGTGCTCGAGCGAAAAAGAATAGTCGAGACAGGTTTTTGGGTGGAGCACGGTCTAACGAGCCTTGAGTGCTCTGAGATTTGCTCCGAATGCTACTCTCAAAATATCGCCGTTTGAAGCTCATCACGGCAGGGCAGCAAATACGGTCCTTCGAAATCTCACGAAAAAGCCAACCTTGCACTGAGTGTTGAAACAAAAATCTGCCTATTTAGATTCTACTGACCCACGAAATCAGAAGATTCCCCAACCTATGGCAACTGGTTGGGAGGAACGGTCTGACGTTGAGTATGACGTCGAACACATGAACCACCCTAGACGACTGGCACAAGAGCAACTAGTTTCGGCGGCGGATGGAACATCAATGGTGGGCGTGAAACAGGTCATGGGGGCAAGTCCAAACAGCCGAGCAAACGGACGGAGCTCTTGTTCCAACGACTTAAGGACAGTAATAAAAGGTATAGACCCATAAATCAGAAAGTAGTTAGCGAATCTAAGCATACTCTAACCTTAGCAAATGGCTCTGTACTTAGGAAAAGTAGAGTTGCTGAGAAAGTCCTCAAACCCAACGCGCCGCAAATTGCGAGCAAACTAACACTACCACCCCCAGCTATGAGTGCGCTGAAACGTCGGGCGGAATTGAAACGAGCACTAAACGAGCAGGCGGCGGGGACAAGCACACGGAGTACAGCCGAGAATAGAACGCGAGAAATATCACCAGCGGAGGAGGCAGACTCGGATTCGGAGTACGAGCCAATAACGATTTCACGATACGCAGGGCAAACAACAGCTGCATCCGATCGGGGCGTGGAAGTGAATGCACCAAAGGTGTTTAAAGATGCAGAGGGCGTAGCGGAAAAACCCCACTCATCCGAAGGAAGCGGCGGTCCAACATCCAAGGGAGTGGACACGGAAGTCCAAACCATGAATACCGAACAAGGGGGAAGTGCCCCGAATTTGAGCAACGAAGGACAGCGGGGAAAACAAGCCAAGAAGAAAGGAGAGCGAGGGCGACGTCTACGTCTACGTCTCGTATCATATTGTAGCCGGGAATCAGAAGACCAAGATGGGACGGGATCAAGGAAAAGTACCAGAAAGCGGACGGCGGTATCCAAATTCGGCGGGGTTATGATAGACAGCATATTCAAAACGAGAACGACCAAAGGGGAGGAAGACAGAGAGCGGGACACGACTTAAGCAGGAAGATAAACTTGGAAGATGGAGTGAAAGGAGATGAAGCAAAACTATTTAAACTTAAAACTTATGCCCAGGGAGAGGGTGGACCACTGCGGGTCTAAAACTCAAACATTTATCCCTCGGATAATTTTTAAAACGCTTGTTTACAAAATGATCGTTGAGGGAATGTCATATATATGTTATTCCTAGTCTTTAACTATATATTATTTTGTTTGGCGCCATTGGTTTTAGCCATGTGTTTGGTGCGGCTAACAATTAATTAGTACCTGCCAATCTTAGTTAAGTCTGTCTATGTTTTGAGTTATTGTTGCTAACCGTTAGTCAGTCTAAATTCAGTGAAGTTACGATATTGAACTTACATTTTTCACAGCTTACTTCGAGCACGCTCGAAACATACCTTGAGCACGGTCGAAAAGTACCTATTGTCCCGCTGTCATTCAGAGTCGAAAAGAAAAGTTTCTTTCAAATAACATATTTTTTAAACCAGTATTCCAAGATGGAATAAATAGCGCATAAATAGATTATCTCTACGAAGCATTTAAATTGCAAACAACTTAAATTTGGATACCTCATGTTGCTTTAAAGTCAAAATACCCGAATTTGGTCAAGCACGTTCGAAACATATCTTCTTTGTGTCTAGCACACTTTTTTTTGGACCAAAATTAAATTATATTATGACAACGTTAAAATAATCAAATGTCGGCGAAG